AATCGAATCCTGTCTTTTGGTGCATGAACAGAGGCTTTAACCACTGAGCAACACTGGCCAGGGCTTTATACATTTTTTAAAAATGTGGTTTATCCCTGGGGAGAATTTATTATTATTATTATCACCATTTTGTGGGTGAAGACATTGAGACCTGAGTGGTGGATATGAGACCTGGAGTAGAACTAATGTTTTTCTTCCTGATCTAGGACTTTTTCCAGTTTATCAGACAGCCAAAGGATCATGTGAAGGGCAAGGAAGCAATAGACTGACTGGGGCCAGATTAGGAGGTCACCATGATGACTATGGCTGGACATCTAATTCAGGGCATCATACGTGCCCTTTAGCTTCTTCAGTAACTTGCACTTTGAGAGAACAATGCAAGATGGCAGGGAGAGTGCTCTGTTCATTTGAAGCTCATAGACCAGCTCCCTGAGGGCAGTTATTGTTTTATAGTTGAACAAAGATTTTTTTCAATCATGGTTTCTCTCTTGAGCATTGGGTACATTCCAAGCAGTTCTGCATTCTTCCATTGTTTGCAGTAAATCCTGGGGCTTAAGTCCAGATCCACTTGTCCTGTGCACACCGAGGAATCCAAATGAGTCACTAGCCTGAGGTCTTTAGCCATCATTTGGGTCAGTGGCCTGACTTCTGGATTTTACAGACCTGTAGAGTCAAACCAGAAAACAGTCAACCAACAGCAACAAAACAATTGATGACCCAGCGTAAGATTGCCATTAAAGAGAAAATAATGATGAAATAATATGCAATTTGAGAGTTCTAAAATTTTAAATTATATGAAATAAAGGTCTTTCTAACAGCAAAAGAGCAAGAAAAGTAACTTCAGAAAAATAAAGAACAATTTTTTAAAATTAAATTAATTTAATCCAATGAAAAAATACATTTTATAGTCATTTATTTGTTTGTTTGTTTGTTTGTTTGTTTGCTTTCCACTTCACTACATCACTGACCAGCTTTTAGGAAACACTAATTATGGACCCTCTTCTGCCTTTAAGTAGATCAAACTTAAAAGATATGAAGGAGGAGAAGATTCAGTCTATTTTAAAATAATTCTGTCAAATAAGATTCTTTTGTTTGAGATTCTATTATTTCTTTGCTCAATTTCTATAAACCTTTAAATTGCTTCTCATAATTTTTTTTTAAAGAGAGAGGGAGGAAGAGAGAGAAAGAAACATGGATGCGAGAGAGACACATCAACTGGTTGCGACCCCCACGACCCAACCAGGGCGGGGACGAACCGCAACCGAGATACGTGCCCTCAGCGGAAACCGAACCCGGGACTCTCCGGTCCACGGGCCCACACTCTAACTGCTGAGCCAAACTGGCCAGGGCTCTCATAATTTTTTAACTAAATTTCAAGTGATAAATTGAAACAGGTTCACGTTGTTATGCCCTCCATGGAGAAAAAGTAGCTCGGCACCATCCTCCACATGATAACACAGGCGATCTTTCAGTGGAGTACAATGTCCCCTCAGTTTTGGCTCCTACTTCTCCCAGGCCCATTTTCCCTCATCCTTCCTCTCAGCACACAGGACGGGGCTGGGTGCGGTGTGCACTGGCGAAGGCGTTCAGACTTGAACCCACAGATCTGTGCCAACGAGGCTGTGATCAATGCTGCACATCCTCGGGCCACTGAGAGAGGATGAGGGGATGCATCTAGCTGTGTGCATGAAGCCTTGAAAGAGTCATGAGAGCTGGCCAGGGGAGCTGATGACATCCTTCGGGGTGCACAAGACACCAGTAAAGGGGTGCAGAGTGCGGGCTCTGGGGAACACTGGCCACATTCCAGGCTCCTCCCTTTACATGCTGGGGACTTCACCACTCTGAAGTTTCAGAACTGTGAAAGGTGTATACTAACATAGTACTTCAACTGAGTTGCTCTGAGAAATAACAATGGAATGGGTGAAGTGACAAGGACAGGCAGGGCCTCGTGTAATAGTGGCTCAGGAAATGCATGGCATTAGCTCTCCAGGCACAGGGAAAAGTATGCATGCCTTCCACTTAGATTTATTTATCCATTACCCATCCCTATGTTAAATAGTAGGTGTTTAAGGAAGAGCAACTGGCCACGTTGGTATTAGACTCGGTATTAGCATATCTTCGTTTCTATCTATCAGATTATTAGACTTTTACGCTGGCCAAAGTACTTGCTTCCAAATAGTGGTTCAATTATCACCAAGGCTGAACTGTAAAATTAGTCTTACCATATGTCTTTGACTATGAATACAGACCTTTCAACTTGAACTCATTGTGAAGCTGGCTAGGATCTCATTGCAGACGTGTGAGTTGTAGGTGAACTAAGAGCGCTGATTCAAGGCTGGTGGTGTAAAAGTTCACAAAATGTTTTAAATTTTACTCATATCAAAAACTAGAACGTTTTGCCTAACATACCTCGATATTCAGAGAAGACATCATTACAGAAGGCAAATAAGCAGGATTCAGCATCTTTTTTCACTGTACTTGGACTTTGCTGAAAGACCTGAAGACTATCCTTGAAGTTCGCTTTTCTAGTTTCATATCTTCTGGTGAGACAGGTGTGCTGCCAGCCGGCAAAGGTGCTTTCCACTCTATCTACCTGGCGTGTATTCATGGCAGCGGGGACTTGGAAGTGTTCGCTGCCACAAGCCGCTACTCTCATCGCAGGTCTCTAGAGGAGCAACATCCTCAGCTTTCCTGAAACCGAGGATGAGGTTTGTGGTGCACGTGTATGTGCACATATGAGCCACCAAGGGACTGCTCGTGGCCCCAAGGTGGTATCATAAACCAGGCATGGCACAGGCATGCTAAGCAAAGTGCCATCTGACTTCTTACATGTAAGTCTTTAAACAAAAGCTTACATTCACATATAACACACGTCAAAGTTTTAAGATCATAGTAGGTTCAAGTTAAAAAGCCTAAATTTAAAAAGGCAACAAAACAAGTGATTTTCTTTTTTGAAAAAATAAGCACAACTCAATGTGGGTGTTGCTTTTGCTTGAAAGCAAATACAAACTTTGCAGCTTAGTAGATGTTTGACCTTCAGCAAGAAATTGTCAGGAATAATGGAAATATTTGTCTCTCATGCTTTTATTATAAGGACTGCATGAGGCATTGTATATACAATACTTATCATAGATAGCATTTGCCAAACAGTAGACATTCAGTTAAAAGGAGTTACAATTATTATTATTAATTATTTATACCCCCCATGCTTGCATATTTAATTGCGTCTTTGAATATTTAATACCTTAACTCAATGAAATGAGCCCTTCGTGGTATACTTTTTTTAATATTTTGCTATGAAATTAAAGGAGATGTATAAATTTGTGCTGGTTTGCCCATTATTTTATGTTTGTGTATATAACTGTCCCAATTACATTCCAAATTCCAAAAAGGTCACCTTGATTATATTTGTTCACCCAAAGCGTGTTCTGGACCGAAAACAGGTAATATTTGTCAATAGTATTCCATGGACAAAAGGCAGTAGCGTCCAGAAAATAATCATTTCAAACACATCTTCAGTGGAATAAGCCAGGAGTGAACTTCTAAAAATATGGTCAGTAAATCAGGGAGAATTTTGAAGGTGATACTTTGTTTCCTGGAAAAGTAAGTTTCTCGGTTTGCTCAGCACCATCTCCTTTCTGTGGCACAATGAAGAAAAAGGAAAGAGTAAAACAAACGTGAAACACTGAGCACCAGGGCGATGCCAGTGTGAGGGGAGAACGCGGGCGGCGTCCGGGTCCCCACAGAGACTCTGGGGACTTCTGTGAATAGTGCCTTGGGCTCTGGAGGAGAGGCTGGCCTGCAAGGACCTCCAGGAACAGACTCAAAGCCCTTTAATAAGTATTCCAGGGAGTCAGGCTTTCCTGGAAAAAACAAATTAGTGTGAGAAGCCAGTACTGTGCAATTTCAGTTTTAAAAATAGCCAAGTATTGTGAAGGCTGCTGTGTGCACAGGGAAAAAAAAAAAAAGAAAGAAAGAAAGCCCTTGTTAATATTTGCCTCGGCTTCCACATTAAAACAGAGCAACTACACTGCAATTCGTGCCTGGCAGAAACTGCAGCGGTCGTAAGGTTCGTATGGCTTGGAGTGACTTTTTGATCCTTCCAATGACAAAGTTTGGAGAGTGGATTGCGTCTCCTTTAATCAATCGGTCTTGCAATAAAGGACAGTCAAGTGATGGCTCAGCCTCTTCACTCAGGACCAGAGCTGCTCCTGCTGTTTCACCTCTTCATTTGCCTAATTGCCCTGGGAGACTGGCAGGGACCTTCCCTGCAGCCCTGGCTCTGCTGACTGCAGGGACCCTACCTGGCTTTCGAAGTTGGTGCGTCAGCATTTTAGGTAGTAATGAATGAAAAATCAATCACTGCAGTGGTAGCATGCACAACTCTAACCTAGTTTGCCCATAATTTGCAACTATTCACCCTAGACCCAAGCAGTGTTTAAGATGGTAAGTGAATCTGTAACATAGTGTTGGTTCTGCTTAATCAGGCTGTGTGTGTGTGTGTGTGTGTGTGTGTGTGTGTGTGTGTCCTCTTTTCCATTTAGAACAAGCAAATCTAACCTGCTTAGGCAGCCACATGGAAAATGAATGATGTCAAGATACATGCAAATATTCTCTATTTGCCCTGGTTTAATATTCAGTGATAAATATTCCTATAGAGATGTATGAAATTGTTTTATTAACTTATACGTCAAATTCAGAGGTTTAAACAATTTTTTAAAAGTCTCCTATATCCTTAACCACATGTCTTTGTAACTTGCTATAACACTCTATTATCAAAACGACACTGTCTTAAATTGTACAATTCTGCAGAGATAGAGTTAAACACTATTTGGACTCTGGCTCCATCAGGGAAACTGAAATTGTTCAAAGCTGCAGTCTTCAGCTCCCAAAGGCAGCTACAGAAACTTTCTGAACAGACTGGGTTAAATATTTGTACAGACCCATTGTAGGACGATAAGGCGGTAATAAGTTGTGCAGTGCAACACTCCAAAGGCTTCCAAATCTCATCGCCTCTCTATGTGATGCTCTCACAGTGAGGAAGATTCCTGGGGCTATAAAGATGAAGAGCCTACTTCTTCTGGTGCTGATTTCAATCTGCTGGGCTGATCATCCTTCAGACAACTATACTCTAGATCATGGCAGAGTTATTCACATCCAAGGTAAGAAAACACAGGTTCTCTTATGAAAGACAAATGGATTTAAAGTTCCTTAGAGTTGAGAGGCTTGGTGAGTGTTTCTTCATTTTAGTTCTGCTGCATTGACTTTTTCCTTTCTGCTAATTGGTGAACATGCTCCCTGGCTTTTGAATGCTATAGCATTACAGTAGAGTTAAGAATTGGGGACAATTAAAATGGAATGGCTTATGAGTGTCTGACCACAGGGAGTTGATGCAATTATTCAAGGCTTTTTAGCACAGTTGCTATCTTTTAAGTAGAACAGAGGGCATAAAGTTTATTTAAATGCAAGGCGAAAGTGGGGGGAGACATAGGAAGTAAAACTTACTGTGTAAGGTCATGCTGTGAGAGTAATCATTAGGAAAAACATTGTGAAAATGAAAGTCGGACAAGCTAAGCTTCAGGAAAAAGTAACTTACCCCATTATAATCTCCTCTGGTAAAAATTCAGTTCCAACAGTATTGCCTCTGCACATTTCTCTTGAGCTCAGCTGAATCCTAAGCCTGAGAACAGTAGCAAGGTTTCAGCTGCAGTGCATTGCAGCTATTTCCTCGGTCCAGCTTCCCATGAGGGACACCCTGCTTGCAGAAAACTAAGAGGCTTGTGCAGTGAGGAAAAGATACTTCTCAAGGAGCTGTAGCTTCTCTCTTTGCCCTTGTGTGCTGAATAACTAAAAGAAGGACAGAATTTAGCAGTTTCAACATATGATGATACTCATTTTAGGTGAACTCAGTTTGGGGGCCAGAGGCATTATAAGTTTGCTAAGAGACATAAAACATCAAGTTATAGCTTCAAGGTCAAAAGTGTAGTCTCAGAAAATTGCATCCACCATTGCAAAGTATGACTTGTGAAGGTCAAGTGATAGTGTAATTCTGGCTAGAAGTGTTCTCCGGTGTGTATTATGACTACCCAAACAGAATTCTGAATTTGACGGTAGCTAGCTGTTTTAGACATATCTCTTTCAGTTCTTTTTGCTTCCAACAGCTTCATGTTTTTCATTGCCAGACCGTGAAAAGGAATTATATAATCATAAATTTTACTATGCAAGCAGCTGACTCAGCTGTTTTTTAATGTACACAGTAGAGGAATCAAAGCTGTTTCACAGACACTGTATTTACACAGAGAGATTTCTGATGAGGAACAACATCATTTTAACATTTTGTCGCAGCATTCATTGCAACCCAAAGGGTAATACCTAGTCATTATTAACAATAGCAGGTTTAAAGCTGACGTAAAATTAACTTTAGTTCTGCTTTCAAGTTATTATTAGACAGATACCTGTTATATTATGAACGACGTACAAACCATTTAGTCTACATTGCACCTAGAGTATGAAAATATTCTTTCGGAAGTGTATTGACATTTAAAAAATTACTCCTGGGGAGTCTTTAAGCCAGATGTAAGTTTTGCCAGCAAGAAAAACTTCCGTGGCTCCAGCCCTCCATTCGCACAACTCTGCTGGAATTTAGTGTAAAGGAATCTCGGACATGACCTATCAGAATTTTCCAGATTATTTGCATATACTATCCAATTTTTAAAAAAATAACTTGACAGTTCACTTCTTTTTAATTGTAAATTTATATTCTTAGAAAGTTGCTCATAGCTTTCAAGTAATAAAACTAGAAGGCCTACATTTTGCTGGTGGAAGTTAATACTGCAATGTGATTTGGGTCAGGATTGTGATGCTATGTCCAGGAGTCTTAATTGATTTTAAAATTGCTCCAAATGCCTGTTTTTGTTACTTTTCATCTAATAAAAAGTTTTCTGTTTCCTTTATGATGGCATTTAGCTTGAACCCATATTCTTCAGTCCTTCAGAGAAACACTTTCAAGTGACCCGACACAATTTTGGTTGTCTTTTGCAACGTAAAAATTAAACTGGAACCCTGGCCAGTTTGGCTCAGCGGTTAGAGTGTTGGCCTGCGGTCCAGAGAGACCCGAGTTCAGTTCCCGCTAAGGGCATGTACTTCGGTTGCAGTTTGTCCCCGGCCCTGGTTGGTCGTACGGGTGGCAGCCACTCGATGTGTCCCTTCACATCGATGTTTCTCTCTCTCTCTCCCTTCCTCTCTCTCCCTCCCACTCTATCTGTACAAAAAAAGGAAAAATATCCTCGGGTGAGGATTAAATAAATAAATAAATAAATAAATAAATAAATAAATAAATAAAATTAAACTGGATGGCATAATCATTACAGCTGGTAACCTGCAATACTTACCTGAAATACTAGATCATTTTCTCATATTTAAGCTTTGAGTTATCAAATATGGCCCAGAAAGAATTTAAAGGAGCTGAAATCCTCATAAAATGTTATAAGACTTTTCAGTCAGATTTGGTTAAGTTAGTAAATCTGACCTCAAAGTCCTGAATTGTACTGGTAAGCAGAATGAACTTCTCTCAGTGATAGACAATTGGTCAAAATTCACATTACTGCAAAAACAACTTTTCTATCTCCCATATTTTTTTAAAATTTCTATGTTTTTACTCTTTTTTTTAATTTATTTTTTTTCTTTCATTGATTTTTAGAGAGAGAGGAAGTGAGAGGGAGAGACAGAAAGAAACATCGATGAAAGAGGATATCAGTTGGCTGCCTCCTGCATGTTCTTCACTGGGGATCGGGCCTAAAACCTGGGCATGTGCCCTACAACCTGGCATGTGTCCTGACCGGGAATTGAACCAGTGACCTCTTGGTGCATGGGTCGATGCTCAACCACTGAGCCACACCGGCTGGACTATGTTTGTACTCTTAAATTCCCAGGTCTCACTAACACCAGGGCAAAATGCACATTATTCTCAAATTCTCCTCAGCTGCCTTGATAAAGATGTTCAATACTTTGATAGTATGTTCTGGAGTCTCAGGCGTAAAAGTTACCTACTTATTTTTCTGAAGGTTTCTTCGCAAATATATTGTGAAAAAGGCTATAGACTTATGGGCACAAAAACATTTAATCTGGCTTTAATAAAAAAAGGTGAGATTACTAGGAAAGAAGATGCAAGTGTAGATCCCTATGCAAAGTGTTTCTGGTGAAAAGTACTTTTTTCTGTTTATGAAAAAGGAAATTCTCCCAGCTTCCCACAACGAAAGACACAGCCTTAGATAAAAACGCACATGTACTAATTCATTCCTTTTAATTTTTTTTTTTTTTTTTTTATTGAAGCAATTTGGTTACACAGGAGAGCAAGCTTTACTTTTCTGTGGAGTCTGCTAAAAAATATGCGATGAAGATATTAGCTTATATATCATATATTGTTCTCAATGTAGGGGATAGTAATTTCTTCCAATACAACTACAGGAAGAGATAGCTGCTGTAAATACAGTTTCTACAACACTCTCAACTAACGCATTACTTCCCTGGTTTCATGATATGCCTAGTCAAACTATGTACTTCTAAGTCCTTTGAAACTCGAGACCATTAGAAAGAATTCTATATGGAGTACCAAATCACACAAAAGTGTAATTTTAAAAAAATATTTGGATCAGGTCCAAGAACTCTTTGTGTAGACTTTTAATTACCAGCAGAATTTCAGAGATAATGAATATACTTTTTATGAAGACAAAGACAACAGAGAAATTATATGACCATCTGCCCATTCAGCAATGTAAAAAGCCAAACGGTAATGGTTTACTGAACACGAACTGCTTGACCTTCTTCAGGTCAGAGAGCCAATGCGTCCTGCCTCCGCTGCTCAGGTGCAGGTCTTCTGATGACAAGTTCAAGAGCTGTTCCCCTAATGCCACTTACGGACTTTAGACATGGGACAATGAATCTCTTCAAGTTCCAGTTCCCTCATCTATAAAATTGGGCATAGTCACAGTTTATTCCATAGAGCTTTTTAAGAATTAAATTAGATAATATTTGGATGAATGCTTACTACTGAGCCTGGCACACAGTAAGCTCCCAAGAGATGATGGTTATTATCGTCACGTCTGTTACTTCCTCCCTGGTGTAGAAGACTGGCGGGGAAGGTCATGCTTTCCTGTTTATGTGTTAACAGAACCTTAGTTCTAATGAAGTAAACATTTTATAAGTTACTTTCTTTGTCCTCTTTAGTTTCACAGTTTAAAATCTCCCCAAGAGTATTAAACATCATCCGATCCTTTAACTTTCCTTGCAAAATCTGAAGCTTTTCCAACTTAAATAATTCTAATAAATTTACTAGGTGAACACAGATATGCTAAATGTTATTCTTTTAACTTTTTAAAAATATTTTTAAATAAAGAGAGTAAAATCGTTGCCTTCTGCTATTTAATAAGTAAAATGTACTGTCACTTTCTTTTCTAAAGAAAGAATTGTCAGAAGTTTATCTCTCTGGGTAGAAAAAATAATGTCTATCTAGAACCCCTGGGAGAAATGGACTCTCCCCGCTTAGTGGGTGGGCTCCTCCTTCCTGTGTTTCTCGCACAACTCCTCTGTCCCAGCTGAGCAGGTGTTACTTCTTGTTAAAATAGCTCCCTTTCCTCATCGGACTGTCAGCTTTGTAACACCACAGCTGTAGAGTACTGCCTGGGCATAGAAGGTGCTGGATATGCATATGTTTGTTGAATAAATGAATGAGTGTAATGGAATACGTCCAAATTACCACTATTATAGTGAGCATTTCTTAAATCCTGTGGCATTCGTGGCGTTTAGCAACGCAATGACACATTGTGTAGGCTTAATGAACATGAACTAGATGACTGCTTTTATTCTGATGTTGACAAAAGCTGAACTATAGTTTACAGAATTTAAGAACGTAAAAGGACTTTAATAGAACATCTAGATCAATATCCCATTACACAAATAAAGAAATCAAAACCCAGAGATTTTATGTTTCTTGTCCCATGTTGCATGGCTAATGAGGAACAGCTTCTCCTGGCTAATCCCTTCTCCTTCTTCAAACATGGGCTCATTTCTCACCGTCTTAGAGAATTTTCCCTGGCTATTGCACTCTTCCCCTCCTCTGGACCCTGATCTCTCTCCTATCTTCTTTCCCTTTCATCTGTAGCAC